TCATGAGAAGTAACGATGCAACAATGAAGCTGAAATAATTACTTGTTTGAAAGGAGAATCAACCCGAAAAGGGGCAACAACTCTTTCGGTCAAGGCAGTGCACCAGGTTGGTTCCCGAGCATTTTCATAATCCACACGTTTGTAGGTATCAGAACTACAAAGGTCCTCTATATCAGGTTTAGTCCTCATATACCAAAACGAAAGAGTATAAAAATAAATAAAGAAGTGAACCACAAAAAACTGAAAAAGTGCTTATTAACCTCGAACAAACATATCCTTCACCATCACTGAATTCCTCAAGTTGCTTCACTTTATGAGAACCATCGAGTGAAAAAATATACCGAACTCCGTGCGGCAAATTTACAGAATCACTTAGTGACCTTGTCAGGTCACACAGGAGAGCTTGGAATGATCGAACTCGCTCTGCAGATATCGCATACCATATTCCCTGCAAACACAGTAATAACAAGACACAAAAGAGACACTGAGTAATGATTAAAGAGATGAATAAACAAATAATCACTGCAAAAAAAAGCATGTTTAAGATATCCAAAGTCCACAAAACTTGCCTTAAAATATTGATCCCCATTCCTATAAAACCTCACACGTTTTGCCTTGCTCACTGAGCTGCAACGAAAAGAAGTTGATGGCACTGACGTAGAAACTGAACTTGTTGTTACTTGCGGTTGACAGTTTTCTGCGACACCTGACGTGCCTAAACACAGAAAATTCACAGTAAAAAACTAAAACTAGCAGTCAAGAGACAGCGATGTTTACAATGAAGTTAAAACGTAAATGCAACCCTCAATATGAGTAAAAATAAAAAAAAAATTAGGTTGTTGAATGGCTAACTGATGACCTCCACCGCATTCTTGGTGAGCGGTGGTGAAACAGCAGTATTCAACCATTTCGAACGTCGTAACCTCTCAAATGCAGAAATGTCCTTGAGGCGTAATTCATTTGGCTTTTACAAGCAAATATAAGTATCAAAAAAGCATACTCAATTCTTCACTCAACAAACACCAGAAAAAACCCATTTACAGATTAGTTAAGAGAGGAAGACTAGCTGAAGGAAGACGAAGGAGCTAGACTAACAACCACAAATTTTGAAGAAATAACATTACAAGTTACTTAAATAGCTAATTACTTGGTTGTGAGTCTCGAATCATTGACGTACTCATCGGTGTTGAAGAGTCTGAAGAACTCTTCTCCTGCCCTTCGTGCGAACCTGTTCTGGTCGTAGATACTTGAGCTCTTCTTTCCAAATCCTTCAGTGAAGGAGTACTTCCATTTCTGCCCAACATGCCTAGCCCTTCAGAATCGGATTCCACAACATGACTCTAAATACAAAGCTGATTAAAGCAGATGTTGATGAGATATAGAAAAGAAAAAGTAAAGCTAACAGCTAACTTAAATCATACGTCGCAGCAAGGTTTAAGTAATAATCAATAATTTAACATCACCAAAAGACTTTAAGAAAATTTATTGATGCCAAATAAAAAACCCGCCTTCCTGCCGGAACTGCGACATCGTGGGATTTGCGAATCATGCGGTCGCTTCGTAACAGAAGGCCTAACGGCAGTTGACCTGCGACTGGGAACTCTTGGAAGAGTGTTGGGCGTTGGAAGGCCAGCAACAACCATGTCGCCCATAAATTCCAAGTTGGACTAAATAAAGCAGATATAACCAAATTAACTACCTAGCACATCGGTAAAAGAGTTCTTTGAAAATGAATGCGATTTCAGCAACACAACCTTTTAATAAGCGGTTCCTATAGCACTAAACAAAAAGCCCATATGGCAAAGCAAAACGCTGCTGCAAAACTTTTTAAAGAACAAAAATTAATTTTTTCCTAAGCACCTGCGCACCATAATATGCCGTACCTTCCTTAAACTAAATTGGCTTCAAAGCGAGTCCAATTATTTCTAGATCTTCTAGATTCAGAAGAATTAGAAATAGCAATAAAAATTTTTCGAATCCTTATTTTAAGGAATTTATAGGCCGCGTCTTACAATACAAAAATATTATTCCTTGAAAAGTATATGACTAAGCCGGTTAATCTTACCTAAGGTCAGCACTCCTTCCTTTTGTGCCCTGATAATTTATATTATGAGTACCTGAAAGCAAAAACCAATAGCTAAGAAAGTCCAAATTTCCTCTGTTCCTAACGTTGCGGAAAATTCCACGTAATATGCTTTAAAACTATAATTCTGAATTGAGATAAGCCAGTAAAAACACAACAAATGCAACTAAACCAGAACTGCCCAAGAAAGTATAGAAAAGAAAACCCGATTGCGAACGTTAAGTATTTAAAAACAATTAACATAAATAATTCAACTGCCACACTGAAATACGGAAAAAGTTACCCAAACTGTACGTCAAAATTAAGCACTGCATGCTGAATAATCACTAAATAACACTTGGTAAATGTCGAAAACGTTTGCTGTATACAAAAAAAGCAAAATATAAATGCAACACTCCAGACACACTAACAACAACAAACATTCCCTCACAGTAACGAACATCCGGGTTAATATAAACTCAAAATCAAGGAAAAGAAGTGTTGAAAATTTTCGGAACGGACAGCTTCCCATGTCCAAAAGATGACAACGGAAAGAAAAGGAGCCTCGTTGCTGCGTTGGAAAAGAGAGCTAAGTCAGCTGCTGCTTGCAGAATGTAGCCAAAACAACTTGTGCTATACAATCAATCAATATAACCAGTAAAAACTGTTCACAGATCCTCCTGATATAATTCTAATCAGAACAAAAATTCAACTGTTAATTGAGGTTAAATCATGCTATTTCTTGATAACTACAAGGACAGCGGATTTTTTAAACGTAAGTAGAGAAATATTCCGCGATCAACCAGATTAAAATTGCTTAGAAAAGCCAACCCGATTATGGACGTTAAGAATCTAATTGAAACGAATATTCGTAATAAAAGTCATAAAATTAGGAAAAAAATAAGCAATGAAAAAATGTTTAAAAGTACCAAAATTTGTGAATAAAAAATGAAAATCTGCAGAAAAAACGATGGTCAATGTTACTCTCAAACGTGAAGAATTGAAAGCAACTTTTTTCACTGGTAGATTAACAAATTTAATGAATAAAACGAACAAGCCGTTAGCATTAAAGTTACATAAAGTAGGAAATAACTGTTTTAAATTCTTGAACTATTCGTTAACAACTTCTAAAAAAAAATTGACCAGAAGACTAAATTTAACAGAACAATGGCATTAGAAAAACACTTACAGTACGCTAATACCGATCATCTCCTTTAAAAACACTGTTCAGACGACTGCAAAACAAAGTTATAATGAAGAGAGGTCTCAGTAGTAACACACATCAACCTTTGCTTCAGCAATGCAAAGAAAATATTTTAAAACTGCCACAATCTTATCACAGCAATAAGTCAAGTTTGGAAAGCAAACATTCCTGTAGCCTATCTAAACTGCTAAATAAATATGGGAAAGAAAAAAGTGATGAAGTACTAACAGAAGTTAATGAAAACTATTGCTTCGTTTAATAGTACGATTAAATTAATTAAAGAAAAGCATCTCGGAAATAGAATAAGCATCTAACAGGGCTCTTGCAAAACTTATGACCAAAAAATACCCGATAAGAACGCTGAAAATGTAAAATAGGAGATTCCCACTGATGCAAGTTAAGCAGTAGCAGCAACAGTAATAATAAAGATAACAATTATAGTACCAGAAGTAATATTACTGTGGGTAATAATAATAATAATAATAATAATAATAATAATAATA